CTTCCTTAAGGAGTATAGCCTTAGAAACCCGGAGGCAGTTCTACTCTGTCTTGTAGGATCACTCTAAGTTGAACTCGCTTGATGGCAATGGATTACAGTTTGGCATCCCGCCTTTTTGAGTCATTCGCAGTGAGAGCATTGGCCTACACTGGACACGGAGGTGCTGACATACTTTTGTTGTTGTTGTTGTTGTTCAGTGATATCCGCTGCATTCTTCACAATGCATGACCCATCTCATGATTTGGTTGTGGTTGTGCCACGTGGCATACATTCTTGACAGATGTTTCAGTAGCTCCTTATTTATTCTGCTAAAATTAACAAAAGCCAGGGAGCCAATAGCATAGTTCACAGAGATAATGCTCTACGTTCTATTTGGCAAGGAGTGACTGTGACCTTAAAGATTCATGAGAACCATCCAAGGTGGAACTCCTGATCTCTCCTTGCTGTTGCAGGGGCAGTGAATTATTTAATATGGCTCTTTGAGCCCAACTCTAACTCCCACCCATGACCTTTCCCTACATGGGTGTGAGTGATTGGGAACAGGATACCCTGGAATGTCATCTTGCTGTGCATACGATCCTTCAGTGGAGCAATAGGAAGGATCTCATTACCAGGAGAGCTAGGAGTTCAGCGTGTCCTCTGGACCCGAGATCACCGTGCAGTGAACCTCCTGGATCCAGAGGACAGCTAATGAACTAGAGAGAGACAGCTGCAGCAGCACCAGGAGACAGAGCATGGAACTGAACAGTGGACTTCCTCACCCACTGAGCAAGTAAAGCTGAATGCTTTGCGGCACCTCATTGGGGCAATTGGACTTGCTGACCCATGGAAGTGGAGCTGAGTGCTTTCTGGCTGAAGCTTACGGGAGTGGGGTGACTCTGGGCACTTATTCCGGGTTTGCTGACCCATGGAACTTAAGCTGAACGCCTTTAGGTTGAGGCTTATAGCAGAGTGGTATGTCCTTTGGGCATTTGTTAGCAGACTTGAGAGAACTTAGTATCATGTCCTGATAGCTCGCAGCCCTGAGCATTTCTCACTGGCATTACAACTTGTTTGTCTCTGAGTTCTGTGCAGCCATTCCAATAAATATTAAAACCCAGAGAAGTAAAAGAGAACACTAAGACATTACAGTTTTCTGGAGGAAAAAAGAATGATGAAAACCATAGATACATGGAAACATTCATTTAAAGAACTAATGAACCAGTCAAACACTGCTTTTCACAACTCTGATATCAGAAGAACTAGATGGTGCCCCATTACCACTGCAAACTGCTCTCACAAGGACATTAGGACACAGGATATAATGGGAGAAAAATGTGGAACAAACTTCAAAATCCGAAAGAGACCCAGCTCACAATGTGGAGGGAGAATCGTAGAACCTCCAAGATGATGGCCCTTAGTCAGTCAGCATCCCTGGAACGGAACTCATCCCATAACTCAAACTTCAGTCAGATGATAGGTCTATAGGGGAACAACAACACTACTGAGGCGCACCCCCCTGAGCATAACCAACCACAGAAGATCAAAAGGGCAGCATTTACCCAAGGACAAAGTTCAGAAGGGTTAGGAAAGGAGGAAGGGAAACAGGGAACACGAGGAGGAAGTGGGATATAAGGGACGGCACCCTGAGAGGATTGAAACGAATAATGCGAAACAGAATGAGGATGAATTGTTGCATGTGAAATTGATGGGCTCTGTAAGCTTTAGTCTGCTTCATAAACACATAAAACGAACAGCTGCAGGACAGTGAGTTATCTAGTGTGGCTCTTCTGGCCATAGTCTCCGTACCTCCCACCAAGTGAATTTTCCCTGATGAGTGTGGGTGGGAAGGGGTGGGAAGATATTGATTGCATTATCTGGTTCGGCTGTGAGTGATTGCCATCCTGCTGGTAGAAAGTGAGCCATCTCAGAAGCCGGAGTGGGGGATTTCACTACTCCAAGAACATCCTCTGAACCATCAGATCCCTGCCCAGTGAAGCTCCTTGACTCAGGAGACAGCATGGAGGCAAGAGGAGCGACAGAGGAGCGGGAGCAGCACAACCAGGAGACAGCCCACAGAGCGTGTGCAGTTGAATGCTCTGGGGCAGGAGGCAGACTAGTGGAGTGCAGTGTATTTAGTGTAGGGAGGTGGGTTGGCTGACCCATAGAGCTGGATCCAAGTGCCTTTGGGTTGAGGTTTACATCAGAGTAGCATGCCCTTTGGACATTTATTCCAAAATCCAAACCAATTTCTCTGTCATCGCATCAGTTCCGACTGCCCCTGCGGGTCCTGAGATGGTACATTGTTCTCAGGGTAGAAAGCTTCATCTTGCTCATGCTTGATGAAGTGGAGGGTTGGTGAGATGGGCTGATGCAGTGGCTGCAACCATGGGCTCAAACTAGCACCAATGGTGAGGATGGTGCCGGACAGGGGAGTGTTTCCTTCTGTTGTACATTGGGTTTCTATGAGTCAGAACCGACCCAACATCACTTAACAACAACAGTGGCAATAGATTACCGTCAGCACAGAAGATGAGAATCTGGGGTGTCTCGAATGATGATGGGAATGTAAGGAGGTACCAGCCACTACAGAGTCCTGGTGGTGCAGTGGTTATGCACTGGGCATACCCATGCAGTGGCTAATGTGGCTGTCTATTCTGAAAGGTTTACAGCTTTGGCAAACCTGGGGAGCCGCAGTACTGTATCTACTCTGGCTTACAGAGTCCTTTTGGCTCCATCACAAATGGGTTTTGGTTCGTACCAGGCAATGCTGATATAAAGTAGGGTAAAATAATAAAGGGCTTCCAAACAGACTCTGTGATTCTAGAGTTCGGCCCAAAGAAAAGGGTGTTTCCAAAAGGCAGGGAGGGGCAAGAGTGGTCCTGGGAGACCAGATGAGGCATCTGGCGCTTGCATTTCATTATAAAAGAATCTCAAATTATTTTTGAAAGGATTCTCCTTGCTCCCATGCACTACGCCTTTCTGTCTCACTGAACCTGTTTTTTTGTGTGTGGTTTTTTTTTCTTCTTTTTTTTTTTACTGCCTATTCCAGGGCAGATGGGAGTGGCACTCATTCATTCTGAATCGCTTTTCTCGGTGGTCCCATGGAGGTGGGGGCCTCTGCCGGCAAGCCCACGTGTGTCAGGTGCTCCCTCTCTGTCCCAGCAGCTCTTATCTTTTCGCCTCTGGAGCAACTTGGTCACAAGTACCAAGGCCTTTTCAGTATGTTTTCCCCCATCTTGTCTGCTTTCTGAGCCAAAAACCCTCCTCCTCCGGCCTCATGGGATTCCTGGACGCTGACTCACACTGCAAGCCCTCTGGCTCCCGCCCACAATCCTTACTCAAGTTCAGCCCCTACCGCCCTTCTGCTAGGGCCTGAGATTGCTGAGCAGAAGATCCCAGCAATGAGAGTTGAATGTTTATGTTGCCCAGCAGCGTGAAGCTGAGAGAGGTTAGAACTTGTGCAGAGGGGAGATAATCAGTGGGTATTTATCCTCACTTTGGTGGCTGAGGTTTACTTTACTAAAAGAGGTAGGTTTGGGAAGATATTTGCAAATATTTACTTTGCTTCACTTGTGAAAATGATTTGAAAGCTCTTTCTATTTGGGGTCTGAATACCCTACTTGTGCCTCCAGAAGGAAATCATTATTCTCCCCAAAAGGAAACATGATTCCCACCCTACCCGCCCTCCAGCCCACCCCCCATAATTATATTAGTCTATTCTTTTAAATTAAAAGATCATTTTATTGGGGGCTCTTATAGTTCTTATAACAATCCATACATCAATTGTATCAAGCATATTTGTACATATGTTGCCATGATTATTTTCTAGACACTTTCTATTGAGCCCTTGGTATTAGCTAGCTCCTCGTCACCTCCCCCCACCCCCCAATTAATCTATTCTTTTGATAATCTCTTCCATTTGTAGGTGATGAAATGCTTAAGGATCCACTTCAAAGGCTGGTGCCTGTTAAGAACATGGCCACTCCCTTTCTTTAAAGTCAAAATTAAGCCGTTGGATTCTTGTCTCTATTTGGATGGCTCCAGTTCGGCTGCAGCAGGTGTCTGGAGGCAGCCTCCCGCGATAGCACTTGTAGTGAGTGTCTGCCCCATAGTTCTTGCTCCTCCAGCAGCACAGCAGGGTGGGTTTAGTCTACTGACATTCAACTAGGAGGCAGTTTCAAGTGAGTTTACCTGCATTTTATTTATAGACAACTTACACAACATGGTTTCCCCCCGTAAAACAAACAAAACTGCACCAAATAAATCTAAGTCCAAAGTAAATGAAGAGCTCAAGATGATGTCAGTTCTCTTTGCCTCAGTCCAGGTGTTGCGTGGACGAAGCACAGCAGCCTGTCAGGATGAGGGACACGGATGCATGGTGCCCACTGTGTTAACGCTTCTCCGTCTCCAAGCCATCCTTCTGGAAGATCATATATGGGGTCACACTTAGGTTTCTCAGGTGGGTAATACCTCAGTTCTTGGCTTCACATGAGAAAGAATTCATTCCAAAGCCTGTTTTGTGATCCAAGGGGGATTTTTTTTTTTTTTAATGAAGAATGGAAGAAGTTTCAGGTTTCATAGTCTCAAAAGAGTACAGGCTATTTTAGGGAAGTGTGCCAAACTGGGTGTAAGCTGAGTTGGGGCTTACCATTGAACATGGGCAACCTCGTGGGACTCTCCTCCCGTGGCTTCACAGAGGAGTCTAATTGCACATCTGCCCAAGCACGATTAATATGAGGCAGAGGTCAGACAGGCTTCTACCTCCATTTTTCTTGATCTTAATCTGCTGTCCACAAGGTCAGCAGTTCAAAACCACCAGCATCTCCTCGGAAGAAAGACTGGGCTTTCTACTCCCTTAAATAGTTACAGTCTCAGAAACGCACAGGGGGTTACTGTGGGTCAGCTTTGATTCGATGGCAGTGAGTTTGGTTTGCTATAGGGCAGTCGTCCTCAACCCTTTCACAGGGGTCATCTAAGACCATCAGAAAACATACATTTGCGATGGTCTTAGGAACCGAGACACCGCTCCTCTATCCATCTCCAGGCGGGCCCACCCGCATTGCAGATATGCCCACATACGAGTACCCAGTGTGAAAACTGTTACCCATGCTACACCATGCTTCAAGACAATATTTCATTTATTTGTTATTAGAAATAAATATTTCACAATATATAATTACATATTGATTTTGTGATTAATCACTATGCTTTCATTATGTTCAATTTGTAACAATGAAAATACATCCTGCATACCAGATATTTTCATGATGATTCATAGCAGTAGCAAAATTACAGTTATGAAGTAGCAACAAAAATAATTTTATGGTTGGGGGTCACCAGAACACGAGGACCTGCATGAAAGGGTCACAGCATGAGGAGGTTGAGAACCACTGCTCTAGGGGTACCGTGAGTCAGACCTGATTGGAGGGTAGCGAGTTAGGCTTTATACTGATACCACTCGTCCTCCCAGGACACTCAACTGTTTTGCTGGGTTTGATAATTTTTACACTCTACTGCTCTGCTGCATTTAATTATTTCTTGCAATGACCACATATAGCTCAAACAACGCTCCTGATTATGGGGTCTCTTAGGGGAAGCTAACAGATTACCAAAGGTTAAAGATAAGTCCTTTTGTCTACAGCGCTTCTTCTCAGCCTTTTGGCAGACTTGTCTCTCTCTAGATGGACCTTGGCTGAGAGCAGAGAATACAGAAAGATGTTTTGTGTTTTATTGAGTGTGCCAAAGTACTCAGCTGTGTGGACCATACAAACGATGGACACCTTGGGAAGAATGGGAATTCCAGGACCCTTCATTGTGCTTATGTGGAGCATGTACATGGATCCAGAGGCAGTTGTGCAAACAGAACAAGGGAATACTCTACGGTTTAAAATCTGGAAAGGTGTGTGTCCTCTCACCATACTTGTTCAATCAGTATGCTGAGTAAACAGTCAGAGAAGGAAAATTAAATGAAGAAGAATGTAGCATCAGTGTTGGAGGAAGACTTATTAACCACCTGCAATGTGCAGATGATATCACCTTGCTTGCTGAAAGAGAAGAAGACCCGCGGCCCTTGCTGGTGAAGATCAAGGATTACAGCCTGCCATGTGGATTAGGGATCCATGTAAAGAAGACCAAACTACAACTTGACCAATAGGTGACATCATGGTAAATGGAGAAAGGGTTGAAATTGTCAAGGTTTTTGTCTTGCTGGCATCCATAATTAATGCTTCTGGAAGCAGCAGTCAAAAAGATCAAAAGATGCATTGCACTGCGTAAATTTAAAGACCCCTGTAGAGTATTGAACATCAATAATGTTACTTTGAGAACTAAGACACACCTGATCCAAGCCGTGGCCTTTTTAATGGCCTTATTCACATGTGCATGTGAGAGTTGGACAATTGAATAAAGAAGACGAAAGAAGAATCAATGCATTTGAATGGTGGGGCTGAAGAAGAATAGTGAAAGTTCCATGGATAGTTAAAAGGAAGAAAACTATCTGTCTGAGAAGAAGGATAGCTAAAATGTTCCTTTGAGGCAAGGATGGTACAACTTCCTCTTCCATACTGTGGACATGTCAGGAGACACCAGGCCCTGGACTGACATCATGCATGGTAAAGTAGATGGGCAACGAAGGGGGGGAAGGCCCTCAAGGAGATGGCTTGACATCGTGGTAGCAAACATGGGTTTAAGCACGGGAACAATTATGAGGATGGCACAGGACCATGTAGTACTTTGTTCTGTTGTGTATGAGGTTGCTATGGCACCTTATGTGAATAAATGTGTGTGTGTGTATATATACTATTATTCAAGTTACCAAATGTTTCATAGAGTTTACTTATATTATATTACAAGGAGCTGATATACTCTCTCTGAAATGGAGCATAGCTAATAGACCATAGCTATGTGAATGGATTCTCACACTTAATCATAAGCCCTAATCTAAGAATAATTATTTCTTTGGATGTGGCACTATTTGGTACTTCTAAAGAGATCGTTGAAGATGTGGGTACTATAGCAATGTGTGGTCAAGAAATCACGTGGTGCCTACCTATCAAGAGGATACCATCTGAGGTATTGAAGGTCTGTCTTAACACCTCATCTAAGTGAGGTGTTAGCTACCTCTGAGAAAGAAGCACACCAGCCTTTGTTATCAAAGGATTATGAATAATAAAATTTATGATATGAGAATTGTATTAGAGTTTAAATTCAGAGCCCGTGGTTTGAAGCACCTGGTTTGCACCCTCAGGCAGAGTTCACTGGAAAGTGGATTAACTGTACTTTAAACCATTTAAGGAAGGGTTATTCTTCCTTTCAGGTTGCGTACCTGTGCCTTGATGACTATCAGTATACTGGGGTCACCCAGTCTTTAGTCATGGCCCCACTGCAGGGTCAGAGGGCCCTGGGATAATCTTGTGAGCACTTCTAACATAGTGTATGTGTCTGAATTATAGGCCTTTCTTGTTTCTCTAGTCGCACCCACAACGGCGATGTACTGATCTGTCACTAATCATCCTTTGGTGATAGTTTGCTTTGGCCTCCCGTGTCTCTTTTAAGTCTCTGAATCTCAGGAAACCCTTGGGTGCCATTTTGACCTTGTGCTGATGCTCTCCCTCATCCAGACGATGTGTCTGTTGTCCTTGTCTTCCTTAAGACTTAAAAAAAGTTCCCTTTAAGATAAACTAGAATAAATGAGTGAATAAGAATCACATCAGGAGACATTGGTCAAAATGATGTGTATAATGAGTCTTGAAGGAGAAGTTTGAGTTCATAGGGTGAACTGTGGGGTGGGGGTGAGGTTGCTGTTAAAGGAAGTTATTTAGGAAGGCAAGATAGAGAGCAAATTGAGAGCAAAGAATATCACAACAGTTCGTTGTCAAGAAAGCAGAAGATGGGAGTAAGGTTGAAGAGATGTGTGTGGAAAAATTTGTGATGGCTACAGTCCAGCTGGTTGAATAATCTGTTTTTCATTAATCAGTTGGATCTGCTAAATACTATAGAGCTGCAAGCAATGCAATCACATCATCAGACTTGCGTTCAGAAAAAGAAGCAAACCTAAAGCAATCAGGAGGAGCAGTAGAAGCTGATTCCAGTAGGTAATAAAAGTTTGATGCCAGTAAGTGGGAAAGGGAACTAATTCAAGATGAACAAAGGAGTTATTACAATCTGCTTCCCTAGATATGGTGATGGAGCAGGGCTGGTGAACAAAAGGGAAGACTTCAGAATTACTGCCAAGTTTCTGTAAGGAGTAACCAGTGAAGTCTTTAGAATCGGTGCGTCAGGGAATGTGAAGCAAAAGCTCATCTGGGAGGAAAGATGACGAGTTAGATTTGCACATGTTGGTTCAATAAAGAGACTTTTCGCCCTGCTGGCTCATGATGAAGTTCTGAAGGTAAATCCGGACGTGTTTTCCTCAAGGATATTGCAGCCACTTTAAATCTAAAGGGCACGGATGAGGAGCCACTAGACTGTGGGCTCCATTCTAGCATCTCCCACGTGACGTAGAGGTGATGATAGAACCAGTGCCCAGTGGGGAATGAAGCCTCATCTCTGTGGAGCACCCTTGGACTTTCAGGGTTGGATAGATGAGGCCGGGTGAATTGCTTGAATTGAATTCCCAGTGGTGTGTCCAGGGTTCTTGGCACTGGAAGGTGAGGATCTTGGAGCATACATATGAGAAGGGGTAGGATAAGGGTCTAGAGTGGCTATTTATTGATAGGGCCATGGATGGGAGACTCTGGTTAAGGAAGAATCAGATAGAAGGGGCTGTCAGTAAGAAACACCAGGCTGGCCAGGCAAGAGAGAATGGCCAGTGACAGGACAGGCCCTGCTAGTGACAGAAGTGCATGCAGAGGAGTTTAATTTCTTCTGCTTCTTTTTTGATGTGAGAGCGGGACCTGAGTCATCAGAATGATAAATGAAGTTCTGGGTTGGTAGTGAGAGTTTTGGAAGAAAGACAAGTTGTGGGGTAAAGGAACCAATGTTGCACAATTTACTAGTTCATACTAGATATTTACACAAATTAGCTCATTTAATCCCAACTACAACTCCAGGTAAGGAAATTGAGGATCAAAGAAATAAAAATAATTTACCCAAATCACATACCTGACAAGCAGCCAGAGTGGGGATTTGAACCCACCTGCCTGTGACTTTAGAAGGCTTGTTCTTTCTTGCTCCCAAGGTCCTGGGAGGCAGCACATCCCTTCTTTTGCTTCGTATCTGTCCCCCTCCCTGCTCTGCAGGTCTTCTCCCTTGCTTCCTTTTGAAATTTCTTTTCCTATTATCTTTCTTTGGGGGAAAAAGAGAGCTCTCTATTCCCATAAAGAGTTATAGTCTTGGAAACTCAGAGGGACAGTTCTACCCTGTCCTAAAGGGTTGCCATGGATTGGCATCAACTTGATGGCAGGAGGTTTATTTTTGTTTGGTTGGTTTTCTTTCTTCCACTAGCTGCAATTT